GATTTGTGCTGTTTATAATTGTTGTATTTTCAGGATAGTACCCTCCATAGTCAACTGGTACAACTGTTAGAGTATAGGCCTAGCTGGTAAAACCGATAGTATGTAGGCCAACAGGTACAACTAGTATAACTGTAACAAATTGTGTTTGTAATTATGTTTTAAATTGTTGTAATTTCAGGAGGCGATGAAGAAGAAGAGCCATACTAACGTACATTTTGACTATGGAGGGTACTATTCAGAAGGGAATGAGTGGATTTATAAAAATTCACTATACGCTATATCGTTTAAGACGGCATGTTTAGAGAAGATAACTTATTCGGTGCTATTAGATAAGATCACTGCGAAGGTTGGCCAGAATGGAGTCCCTGGGAATCTGAAACTGAGTTACAATCTATCTAAAGCTCGGAGAGAGACATATATTGTAGATGATGAGGACGTATACATTTTTTTAACAGAATGTGATGAAGAGGGTCGTATTCCAGTTTTGCATGTGGAGCTATTAAGTGACAATAACCAGAGGGTGGAAGTGTTAGTACCGGAGCGTCGAAGTTCAGTTGGTGTGAATTATGTAGAGCTAGTGAATGTGAATGAAGTTTTGGAGAATGATGTGAATGAAGTTTTGGAGAATGATGTGAATGAAGTTATGGAGAATGATGTGAATGAAGTTTTGGAGAATGATGTGAATGAAGTTTTGGTGAATGATGTGAATGATGAGAATGAAGTTTTGGTGAATGATGTGAATGAAGTTTTGGTGAATGAAGATATGGTGAATGAAGTTATGGTGAATGAAGTGTGTCAGAATGTGACAGGTATGGAAGTTGTGGCTGTGGAAAGGTCGATGGATAACCATTTGGATGAAGATGTGGATGGTATTTTTGATTTTGATGATATTCCAGCTATTCCAAATCGTGTAAAAGGTACTCCGAAGAATATAGAATGGGAAGATGGTACGGGTATAGAACTTTATCAAGAATTTTGTTCTAAGGAGGCAGTGTGGGAATTGGTAAACAAAGCTGCAAAACAAGAAGTTTATGGGGTTTCAACTATTAAGTCTGACCCGGTGAGACTTATGTTACGATGCAAACAATATTCTGAAGGGTGTAAATGGTATTTACGAGTTGCGAGAACAAAGCAATCAGATTATTGGAGTGTTAGAGTGCATAGAAAGATCCATACATGCTCTCGGTCTGTTGAGTCTACAAGCAATAGTGTACAGAGAGGAACACCACGATTAATAGCAGCTGTTTTGCATGCTGACTTTCCAGGTAATATACAGACCCCAAATCCAAAAAGCATCATGTCTATTGTGACAGGAAGACTTGGTGTGCATTGTTCATACTCCACTGCATTAAGAGGGAAAATGCAGCATGTTAGTGAAGTGAGAGGTGGACCGGAAAAAAGCTACAAGATGTTGTTTTCTTATCTTTACATGTTAGAGAAAGTAAATAGAGGGACTGTAACAAGTGTGGAGTTGGAAGAGAAGAAGTTCAAATACCTATTCATAGCTTTGGGCGCTAGCATTGAAGGCTTCAGGGCAATGCGGAAAGTGATAATTGTGGATGCAACTCATCTCAAAACTGTATATGGCGGGATGTTGGTTATCGCAACAGCTCAAGATCCTAATCATCACCATTACCCTCTTGCATTTGGTGTGATTGATGCGGAGAAGGATGATAGTTGGATATGGTTTTTCCAGAAGCTGAAAACTGTATATCCAGAAGTTCCTGATTTGGTGTTTATTAGTGACAGGCATCAAAGCATCAAGAAGGCTGTCATGACGGTGTACCCGAATGCGCATCATGTACACTGTATATGGCATTTGTCTCAAAATCTGAGACTCCGTGCGAAGATTGATAAGGAGGGAGCTGCGAAGAAGTTCATGGATTGCGCTCATGCTTATACTGAGAGTGAGTTCAATAGAGAATATGGTATTTTTAGGAGTCGGTGGTCTAATGTTGCTGACTATCTAGATAAAACTATAGAGAGAGAGCAGTGGTCCAGGTGCCATTTCCAAGGAGACAAGTACAACATAGACACTAGCAATGCTGCGGAGTCAATGAACGCTGTGTTTAGGAAAGCGAGGACGTATGACCTCTTACCTATGATTGATGCCCTTGTTGAGAAGTTCTCTGAATGGTTTAACAAACATAGGCAAGATTCAGGTAATGCATCGAGCACATCACAAGTTGTGCCTTTTGTGGAGAACATCTTGCATGCTCGATGTCCAGTTGCTGCGAAGTTAAAAGTTGTTGAGCTTAACAGTTATAGACAAGAATACAACGTCATTGATCTCCATTCGGTAAGCTTTTTGGTGGATTTGAAAATGAAAACTTGTTCTTGCAAGACTTTTGATATAGACAAGTACCCGTGTGTCCATGCCATTGCCGCAGCAAGGTTCCTAGCCCGCAAGGAAGGGAGAGCTGGAGATGTAAGCATATATGGACTCTGCTCCGTCTTTTATTTGATAGATACTTGGGCATTGGCATATTACAGGACGTTGTTTGTAGTGCCACATGAGTCAGAATGGATTATTCCCGAGCCAATTAAAGATTTGGAGGCTGACCCGCCGGAATACACCCCAAAAAAAGGACGAAATCAAGATAAACGGTTTCCATCCGTTGGAGAAAAACGGAGAAAGAGTAACAAAGCTGTTCCAGGAATTAACTTGGAGAGATGGCTGCAGCCCGAGGATCCAGAAGCAACTTGATTAATTCCCTGGTACAGCCGGTACAACTGTTTTACCACTTAGGTTCAACTGGAACAACTGGACCATTTGGGTTCAACCGGAACAACTGTGTAACCATTTGGGTTCAACCACTGTGACTTAAACAACTTTGTACTTGTATTTTTATTTGTAAGACTAATATCGCTTTGTAATATATGGATTATTATTTGTAAGACTAGTTTGTAATAAAAACTATTTTATTTCTTAGCAATATTAGTAAAAATGGTTTCTGGGTTCAACCGATACAACTGGAAACAACTAAATATATAAAAATACAAAGTTACATAAATCAAACAATAATAAGTAGTTTAAAACATTTTTACACTCTGGAAGTACATTTAATAATTTCAATATATAATATGTAACATTATCAATAATTAATGTGAGCTAAAACCAAAATTACACAAATCACTCTTTAGGTAACAAGGAACAATTAGTTCAAGCTCATCTATAAAGATGAAATAAGTATGGAAACTATGTTTTCTGACAAATTATTATATGAAAACTTCTTAAACACCAATATAATGTGGAAATTGATGTGAACAACTAGATAACTATGGTATTTTTAAGGTTCAACTATAAAATTACAAAATTTGAAATAGTTCAACTGTGAGGAAATTAGGACAACTGAACATCTAAAAACAACTATGTAGAAAATCTATTTGTCGGGGGTCCCACGTAAATGTGTTCACACTAGTTTTGACTACTTTTGACTTAAATCGGGTCCCACATAAATGTGTTCACACTAGTTTTTGACTACTCTCTCTCTCTCACATCTCGATCTCTTCTTCTTTATCTCTTCTTCTTCTTTTCTCTCTTCTTCTTCTTCTTCTTCTTCTTCTTCTTCTCTCTTCTTCACGAGAAACCCAAAAAAATTAGGGTTTTCAGATCTATTCTTTTTCTTCCTTCTCTCGCCGTTATAAGGTATGACAATTCTCTTAGAGTACTTCAGTTTAGTAGATCTGCAATTCTGGTAATTAGGGTATATGAGATTTGTAAGATTTTCAGATCTACCCAAAAAATTGTAAGATTTAATTGATTTATGTTTGATTGAATGGTCAGATCTACTTACCGAGCTTCATCTTCTTAACCGTAGATATGCCTTATAGTTACTCTCAACCCTCCACATCCGTAGAAAGTATCAACAGTGGATGCCGAAATGCGGACGCCAATTATGGTGTTCCCAAGAGGTGTTTCTGCGGTTTAATGGTCAAGCTTGAGCGGTGTATAACAGGACAGCGACAAGGAGAGCGCGTATATAGATGCCCATTGCTTACGGTATGGTTTAGTTGCAATTCTGGAACAACTAAGTACAACTTGCTGGTTTTGAACTTTCTATATTCTTCCTAGGATGGAGACGAATATAAGGTTAATCGAGATCACCTAGTTCAGTGGTGGGATTGTGCGGTTACGGAGGAGCTGTCCAAGATAAACCTACGATTTGACGTTTTAACCTCTCTTGAGGTTGCGAGGGGTGGATTTCCACCTGCTTTGGAGTCGATCCGGGAAACTATTCGTCTTATGCGTGAAGAAATTGATGCCCTTAAAGCGAGGTTAGCCACAAAAGAAGTCGAGATTGCGAGGCTTAAGGGGTTACTTTCAAGTTGGTAATAATATTGTATGATTACCACCTAGTCTTTGTATTTGTATTTTGGATATGAATTTGTATTTTGGATATGGATTTGTGTTTTCATGAAGTCTTATTAGTAGTTGTACCTGCAGTAATGCTAGTTGTACTTGGTTCAACCGGTACAACTCCGACTTATATGTATTTACTAAGTATTTTTAATAGTAGTTGTCCCAGGTTTATAATATAGTTGTCCCTGGATTATTAGTAGTTGTCCCTTGATCAACTGGTCCAACTAAAATTTAAAATTAATTTAGTAGTTGTCCCAGGTTTATAATATAGTTGTCCCTGGATTATTAGTAGTTGTCCCTGGATCAACTGGTCCAACTAAAATTTAAATTTGTAATATTTGAATTTGTATTTTGGATATGGAATTGTGTTTTCATGAAGTATTATTAGTAGTTGTACCTGCAGTAATGGTAGTTGTACTTGGTTCAACCGGTACAACTCCGACTTATATGTACTCACTAAGTATTTTTAATAGTTGTTGTCCCTGGATCAACTGGTCCAACTAAAATTTAAATATATTGTATTTAGTAGTTGTTCCTGTTGTCCTACTTGTGTTAATAGTTGTCCCACGTTTGTTAGTAGTTGGACCAGATGCATAATTTTTTAAAATATAATTTATGAATCATCCTAAACCCCAAATACAAAAAATGCACCTAAACCACAACACAACCAAAAGATAGTACAATGTTTTGAATCCTAATAAAAGATAACCGCAAAATACTCAGAAAATATAAGTTTTGTCCTACACAAAAGCAATTACTCATAAAGAGTGATCTCTCATAAAGATCACCTATTTCTTCTGCCGCTTCTTCCCCTTCCCCTTCCCCTCTGCTGTAAACTGTTCAGCCTGAAACCTGGAAGCCTTCCTTTGTCTCTTTTTCCCGGTCTGGATTGTAGGGCCACTATGCTTCGGCCTCACTGCTTTCTTCTTCTTATTCTCCTTCTCTTTCCTAGCCAGCTGCTCCTCATCACCTTCATCACCTACACAACTCCAATGTTAGAACATGTATGTTACAATAAAAACTACAAAAATGTAAACTCACTCAATTCTTGAATCTGGATTGGCTTAGGGTCTGTGAAACCACTGTGAAGGACCAAAGCCTTTGTCGGACTCGCTATTGGTTGATTAGCAGTTGGTGTACAATAGGTTGGCACAAAATCACTTGAAGTCCCTGGATGATACTCATTGTACCGCTCTTTCTCTAGCTGGACTGACACATAACCCTCTAACTCTTTCACTCTCCCATCCAGCATACTCACTTTGCTATCCATCTCAGACAACTTCTCCATGATCTTCGCAAATCCTTTGTCCACAGCTGACTGTAATGAGAGGATATCACCAAGCCTCTCAGGGACTTCACCATCACTTTCTTTAACATCACCAAGCCTCTCAGCCACTTCAGGGACAACATCACCAAAACCCCGAGCCTGCAAGTCCATCTGGTATAGACTTTTCCACCAGATTTTCTTCTTCTTTCTGATCAGCTGCTCTCTCCAACCTTCAACAACTGGATCAATAAATCCCATCCCTTCATCAACATCTTTCTCAACAAGGCCAGACAACATCTCTTTCTCATCCATATCAGGTTCCAAGATGCTTGAGATATCCTGTCAAATACACATAGCATCAATCTCAATAAATATGCATACTAAGAGAAGTAAAGGCACCAAAAGCTAACCTTAATTTCACCAAGGGCTTGGTTTATCTCATCCAAGGTAAAGCCCTTCATGCAACTGTCAGTGAATTTAGATTTGCACATTCTTGGACAGTCATTAGCTGCGGGAACAGCTTCTCTGAATCGCCTTCCAAGCTGTGGTATGCACTCAAATGCAAAAATCTACACATTCACAATAACACAGTTTTACTACTATAACTTAAACACTCTAACTCATTACAATATTCACAAGTTTTTACCTCAAGAGGAGTGATGAATCCAAAAAAGCTGCTCTGTGCTTTTGGTTTCACCTCACCTTTCATGTTTTTCATCATTCTCCGGATCCCTGTCATACATTGCTCAAAAGAATACCTTCCCCACGGGAATATCTCACAAGCATGAACATCATCAACAATCCTTAACAGGAATTGCTCTATGTTCCCATCACCCTTAGAATCAGCCTTCACAACCGCACATAAAAACAACAAAATAATCAACTTCTTCCTATCCAAACACTTCTCACTCTTAATAGCTGCCAACTTCTTTTCTACATCTTTGATTTTGATTAGGTCTGTCCTCCCAAACATCCTTCTGACAAACCTCAAACTACCCTTCTTCTCATGATTCTTTGGGTACTCATGGCAGTCCAACCCGGTCAACAAAGCATGCTCTTTCAAGGAGTACCTTATAGGCACTCCATTCACAACAAACCAACACTCATTCTCCATACCCGTGCGAGCAGTGCGAAGCATAAGCATCCACATGCCTTGAATCATGTGATTTGGTTCCTTAGGCATGTGGAATATATGCTTAAACTGAGCATGATTCCTAAACCAACTAACTTCCTCATCAAATGCCTCTATCATGGCCACTTTTTGGCCCAATTTACACTTTTTACGTACCTTACATACCTTGTTGTACTCAGTTGGACTAAAGTACATGCTCTCTGGCGTCAATGTTTGGAATCCCTCATCATCATCATCCTCATCTGTATCAGCTGCAACATCATTTACCCTCTCCTGTTCCTCTTCCTCAATAGCCATATCAACTATATTCTGCATATTTCGGACACATACAATTGAGTACAACTATGTCTGTTGCTTACCTTTTACACCATATACGACTAATACCAACTGTTACTTACCTTTACGACACCAGCAACATCTTCGTCCTCATTATCACCACTCCGTTCTCCACCCTCAGCATCACCAACTCTCTCTTCTTCCTCGTTATCACAACCCTGACCATCAATTGACAACTCACGGACTTCTTTTTCTTTCTCCTTTGACTCACTGACTTCTTTATCGGACTCACGAACGTCTTCATTTGACTCACGGACTGAGTCTTTCCCTTCTCTATCAGACAATTCCAGAACCGAAGCATCCACTCTTGGAACAAATACAGCAACAGCGGAATCCGTCGGATCTTCTGTCGGAACAGAAGCATCAAGCGGAGCTTTTGTTGGCACAGCGACATCCGTCGTCGAAGCTTCTCGAGACCTTTCTGTTGACTCATATTCCCTACCTCCCTCTATCACACGAGCCATATACGGAGGAGACGAAGACACGCGGAGGAAACGAATACGAACGGAGGCGGCAGAGACGAAAAGACAAATGAACGCGGAGGAGACGGAGGAGACGATTGACGGAGTACCACAGACGACGGCCGAAGTTCTGAGGCTAGAAGAAGACGACGGAGACGACGAGACGCCGGAAAACAAGCGACGGAGCGGAGAAGAGAGATTCGAGAGAGAAACGAATCGAATTCACGGGAGACGGGTGAAATTTTTCTGAAATTTTACAGTTTTCGATTTACACTTAGGGAAATTAGGGTAAATTTGGGGAAATTTTATGGGCCGGGTTATTTTCAAGTGGGCTGGGTTCGGGTTTATTAGGTTGGGTCGTAGTTTTCTTATTTTCGTCTGGGTTTTTGGTAAATTACTCAGTTTTACGATTTAAAAGAAATTCAATAATAAAAAGCAAACATAACAGTGGCATGAGTGGTTAACATTTTTCCTTTTGTGGCACAAGAGGTGAACTCTCGAAGACGAAGCCACTGTATGCCGGTGAATGTGAACTTCGCCGACGAGCAGAGAAAATGGTGGACTCAGTGAAAAAATTATACCTTTTCAATTTGGTAGTGTTCAATTTTGCCAAAAACCGCCCGGTTCAACCGAAAGTTCCGGTTCAACCGTGAAACTAATGTTCTCTTGTCTTCTTTTCTTTATACGGCTGATAAGAAATCCAACCGGTCGGTTCAAATTTAAGAGTGAACATCCCCACTAATTCCCAAATGTTATACAATCATATATTTGTCCAACATAAATTTAAAATATTATGTAACCATATTTTAGAATCTAACAGGTAGTAGAGCAATGGCAAAGTGAAATCAGTTAGATGATCCTTTTTGAAATCTTTCTTATATTTATTTCCAGGTTCAACTTCAATAGTATAGTGTTTGCTTCTTTGTTTTAGAGTTTGGTATGAATAAAGAGATCTGCCACCGAGAATGTAACATCATATAGTATAGTGTTTGCTTGTGTGCCATATAGTACAAACATCATATCGGGGTTAATGAAACATAATAAGGATGAACACCACCGAGAATCCAAATGCGAGAGAGAGTATGTATAGAGAATTGATGTGTGTATATTCACCTCAAAGTTTCACCTTAGAGACCACGGTTAAACCACAAGTGCACAATAATCAATTTGTATGTTTTGCTTCAAGAATCAAAGCCGGCATGAGGCATTTTAGATACTACAATTTTTATATCGTTTATTTAACTAATACATTTTTAAAGAATTACTAGATTTGCCAATGCAATCAAGAATAAACAAACAAAAAATTATTAAGGATAATATTAATCTGTATATCCAAACAAATTTCACAAACAAAAAAAATTATGGTGATTAAAATATATTCAATTTTGGATTAAAAGATTTTTACATTAATCCCAAATCTCCAACAAAATCTTGATTTTATAAAAAAATTCAGTCAAATAGTATAGGTTTAAATCAAAAGTATTTAATTTATCTTTTGATAAGATTAATAAGATCATTTAGCTTTATCATTTTTTTGGCTATCATTCCCAAATACTTTCTTTTGTGTGGAACATTCCAATTTCAGACTCCCTCTATTACATTTTAAATGTCATTTAAGGAGTTCTCACACATTATAAAAAACTATTAAAATTTATATACCCCTTGTTATACACTATATAATTTTCTCTTTCTTATTAATAC